CGTGGCTCACGGCAGCTCACGGCAGCTCTCTCCAGCTGCTGGCCATAGGGGAATATTTTTTAGTGTTTGTGCTATTACCAATATAACAGCTACAGACATGACACTTTTAAGTTTAATCTGCATTATTAACATTTCCTCCATAGACAATAAGACAATAATCATACATTGATTTGTACCATTTGGCAATGTATGGGTAAATACTCCCACTATGGCACCATGGTCGATTGCAAGCTACTCACAGAATTTCACTGAACGTGCGTGCAGTTGGGAAGAGACATGCAGTAGTACAGTATTATATTCCCTCCATACGGATACTAAAGATGAATAATGTACCAAAATAATTAGGAAGTTTTGAGTACCTATTAACCTTTGATTTTAATATATTATGTTTAATTGTCAGTTTATATAACTTCATTTTAAATAAGGGCTGTGTTTCACAACCTGCTTGCAGAATTTCTGAAAATGTAGTAATCAACTTTCACAAGCTGATGTGGTCAGGCTCCATCCTACAGGTGAAATCACATCTGGATGAGGAGGCTCTGCATATGCAGTGTTGCAGACTAGTTTACAAGATAGACTTGGCCTGATGAGATAGACCGTAGACATGTAACCTTTAATTAATGAAGCTTTGATAAAACGAAACAAGGGAAAATGCAAGTTTGAAAGATATTATGCAGGTTATTAATTAATTTGAAATTATTTATTGAGTTTGTAACATATTCAAGACACTATAATGGGCCCTGGTAACATACAAAGGTAAAAACAGACATAATTTCTGCCTTTGAGGAATGAATACTCTAGTTGCTAGGTTAGACATGCAAACAAACCAAATATTGTGACGAATATATTATGATAAAATACAGATATGTTCGAAGGACTGACCATTCCTAGGAAAGCCAAGTAAGACTATTGGAAATGTTGCTATTTGAGTTGGGATTTCATGGGTGAGAACTAGTATATTGGGTAGAAATTAGGAGAATGCAAAGCAAAGAATATACCATTAAAAAGCATGAGAATATGAAATAAATCATGGATGGGCTACTAAAACTCAGATGCTAAAAACTTGTTACGTAACTGTCATGTCTTGCTTCATCAGCCCAAGGTCCAAATGCCGTCATATCATTTTTATTTTCCTAATTCCTATTTCCTAATTAACTTCTTAAATAAAATTGTCTAATTCTAGTTTTCTAATGTTTCTATTTGTCTTTACTAATCTCTATCAGCCCTTATTGAGTGGGAATGCATCACCCCACCCTACCCCATGAATTTCTATCAAGGTTCTCATTCTACCTGAGGGGAAGGAATGATAGTGCTTTAATCCTTCTTTCAAACGCAGGCAATGCACACCTTGGGTCCAAGGCCACAGTGAAAAGGACTGTGTAGACACAGCTTTCCTCCCGAACACTGAGGCATTTGTGTAGTCTCAGGTGAGGTGTGAGTCTGACTTCATCTGGTCTTCTCTCAGGATTGACTCCACTGGGCTCCTTGCCTGCTAGCAGAGCTATGCATAAGAAGGGTAGGGGTGCCTTTTGCTCAGCCACCCCAATAGATATAATTAAGAGAAACCACTCACAAATCTCTTCACAGAACAGAGCTCCACTCAAGTTGATTTTCTATCCTGATTGTATTGTTATGTTGAGAAGCAGCTGGCAACTCCCCAATCTCTCTCTCTCTCTCTCTCTCTCTCTCTCTCTCTCTCTCTCTCTCTCTCCCTCTCCTACACACACACACAGTGATGTATGTCAATTATAAAAAATATATTTTTGACCTTATCAGACTTCCTGTTTAATCTCTGATTTGAAAGGCTTCCTATTACCACATTGATAAAAAGCACAGTGATCTGTAGTCACTGCTATCACCTATGCTTTATCCTTTTAAGAAATTACGTGGAAATAATCTGATCTTTGCAATGACTGTTCTTTGTGACCCCAAAATATAACATTCTCAATCCTTCTCGATTCACTCTGATCCAATCCCTGTTTTGCAAGTACTGTAAGAGTGATTTCTTTTAAATGCAGATGTAATTATGTCAATCTCCTTGAAACCAGCTTAACATTGCCCTTAAATGGAAGTCCAAAATCGTCAAAAAGGCCTACACAGAAGGATAGGGCTACCATTGCTCTGGCCTCATCATGGTTTATTCTTCTGCTAATCTTTTCCCATCCCCACACCCTAAGTACACTTTAGCTTCAGCCACTCTGAGGTTACTTTCTTCCTCCAAAGTTCTCTGGCGTTCTCTCACTAATGCTCTTTCCTCTGTACCTGGAGTGCTGTTCTATTTTCTCCCCCACCTTCTTTAAATTCCTTCCACTAATTTTAGTCTCTGAACCAGAGGAAGCTTAATCCAAGTATGGATAGAGTTCCACTAGGTGCCCCCATGACACTGCAGTTACCCCCAGTACTGGACCTCAAGGCAAGATAGATAGTCAAAGCCCAGGTGAGCAACGGTGATTGACAAAGCAAATCATTGCTTACATGGGTGCAGGAGACATTTCCTAGGTGTGGCAGCACCAGTCTTGCAGGTGAAAGACATGAAGAATTAGGCAATGGAAAAAATCACTGATCTGGGAAGGTAGGACTGTGACGGGAGAGACAAATTAAGGTCCCAATGAGGGATTCAATTGATGTCTCTGCTAAAGAATGTCAGACTGAGTTGCTAATGGCATAATCATTATTTGTAAGTCCCCATATTTAGTATAACTACCAGGGGTGCCCAAAAAAAAGTGATACAAGTGGACACTTTGGTCACCGTTGCTCAAGCAGTAGTTCGCTGTAATCAGAAGTGTCTGGATGCTGACAGGAACCACTTTGAGCACCTCTTGTAATTGCAGAAGTCAAATGTGACTTGTATTCATCCTTTGTTATCGGTATATATTGAGCATTACAATTTAATAGTTTTTTCCTTTCTTAAAATGTGTATACATTTTTTTGGGCACCCTCTGTAAAATGGAAAATTAGGCAATTTCTGGAGATTTCTACTTATGAGTTCTAGTCATTAACTTCCACCTAAAAACAAAAAATTGACCCTTTAAAGGACAGATTTTGTAAATTGTTGACATATAAAAATTTAAATCTCTAATGTATGTTCATTCTGTTGGCATGTGATGTTAATTATCACACCATGTAGTATTCTGAGATTTACTGTTGAATTCATGACTTCCTTGACACTATACCAAGTAGTGCAGTTGTATAAAAGCTAGTGCTCTTATAAAAATGTAAAAGCAAAGAACATTGGATTTAAAGTTGTTTTGTAACATTGGATTGACGCTTCCCATAGAATTTTGTGGTTCATTTCTAATTGAAGATTGACATTTAGTTATCCATTTTATAATGTAAACATTCTCCAACAGTGGGGGGGTTCCATATTAGAATACTTAGAAAATACTTATGTACAGAAATTAATAATAAAGGAACCTACTTAGAGCTCCATTTTGATTCTTAAAAGCTTGTACACATTCTCTGGACTTGCTTTATCTGGTCTCTAACAATGACTATTGTATATAGAAACAAAGTCCATGAGAAATCACTTACTTGGAGCACATTCAGACCTAAACAAAGATAAGATAAAAGGAGAAGGCTATATCATGCCATCTTAGAAATATTAGAAGTATAAGAATTTATTATGGACTATTCTTACACAGTGGACATAATTAAGATAATATTATTTTTATCCATTAAAAATGATCTTGTGTAACTTGAAGAATAGAGTTTATATATAGGTATACCCGTGGTAGGGGTTAGAAAGAGTTGATCTAAGCTCATTATGTTTTCTGTGGGTTTATACTGTAAAATGACTCATAAGCACAATTTCGAGAGATGTTCACTCTTAACTTATAGCTTATCTCCAAGGCTTCCAGTCTTTAGGCACGGCCTTTTTGCACCTTCAAGCTACAGAATTGTCAGGTCCTCTAGAAACTTCTGAAGAATTTTTTTAAATTGATGAAGTTTGCTTACTTTGTTTGGGTGCCAACAAAGGTGTCACCGGGGCCTAGTTTTCAGCCCCTCATGTAGTGCCCACCCCTGAGAGTTCCCTTGCCCCAATCCAAGTGGAATAGGCCCTTACAGGTCCCCATCCCACTCAATCCCCATTTTCTAGTTCCACTTGGAGGCAGCAGGATTTTAAAACTAGTATGTACTGAAACAGTTCAGTTCACTAATGGTGGCTGAGGCTTGGTTAAACTAAGTGTTTGCAAAATGGCATGACCTGTCCAGAAATAAACCTTACTTTCTGCAGACATTAAATGCACTTCTATCGTTTAGTCAGGGATGGCCACTTACCTTATTAAGTGATCGACCAATCTGTATTTACCATTACAGTGGTGTCTGCTGAGGACCATATCAAAAGAAATTAATCTCCACAATAATATCATTGATTTTACATCTAATAAAACCCCCCAATATTTATTCTCATGAGTTGTTCACTTATTTTTAATGTGCTTTTGTACCTGAGCATGTGTCAGCTTTCTTAATTAAGTTATTTTTCCTTGTATAGTAAAAAATATTTTAATAATATTTTAGAGAGGATCCTGGATTTCCATTTCCTTTTCTTTCCCATCTGAAGATTTTGTTCCCTTTCTATTTCCCATATTCAGGACTGAGAAACATCTGCTAACTGCCTTATAAAAATTTTATAATTATCAACATATGTACCCTCTGATATTATGTTTTCAGGAGGGCACATCTCCTTTGTGGTACGTTCCCCAATAATTTTAGCCTCAATCTAATCATGTGAAAGCATCAGGCAAACCTAAATGGAAAACCTTCCATAAAATAACTGACCAGTCTCCTTCAGAATCTTATAAGTAACTCTCATTTCATTAAACAAGCTGTCAAAAGCATATATTTTATAAATTTGACCGAGATTGAAAACACCTGAAAATATTATTTTAGAAAGATGTTTCATTATATCAATGAAGTGATTAAAATATTATCTCCCAGTTTGCCTAAAATAAGGGTGTACCAATAGTTTTGTAATGTATTTCTATCACTTCTCTCCATAGGTGACTCAGCTAATCTAACCTGCAGAGCTTTCTTCGGGTACAGTGGAGATGTCAGTCCTTTAATTTACTGGATGAAGGGAGAAAAGTTTATTGAAGATCTGGATGAAAATCGAGTCTGGGAAAGTGACATTAGGTAAAAATTTTTTTTTCTGTCAGCTTGTACCGTCAAGATTAACATTTGTTCTATTAGTGAATCAAAAGTGAGCTAGAAGAAAAGGCTATTTCTTTTGTTTTATTATTATAATAAAAAATATTGCAACATTTAATGTCAAAGAGGAAAAACACTTTTAAGAGGCTGACTATGGAGTTGCAAAACATGAATGTCATTTGCAAAGAATTTAAGAGAAATAAAAAGGAGATAGTTCATGGAGGAATGTACTGAATAATAGACAGACCACAATACCATCAAATATGGAAAATGCGATATTGTGCCTTTTGTTCTTAAGAGTTATTTGTTTTTAATTGTAAAGAGGAAATATTAACAAGGTAACAGGACCCAACCAAACACAATCTCTGTCATTTGTTATTAAATTTTTTCATAATTTGTGGTACTGAGTAGATTATAAAGCACTTGATAGAAATTCTAGAAGATACACAAAATGTTTTCATTACTTTTTTTAGTCTGGCTTTAAAGTCTAAATATTAATATAGTGGGAATAATAGAAAATAACAATTAAAAATACCATAGATTTGTGGGCATGGTGCTTAAGCCTCTTTTTAAAAACATAATTTATTTATTTGTTCATTTGCTTTTAAGGAGTGAGGTATTCAATTATGACTAAAATGATGCTTGGGCATAAATACTCATTTTAATCATAATATAAATAAGCAAGCATATTAACAATAATTAAGTAATAACTGAATGAGAATCCTGATCATTTGTAAACATTCTCCCATCTAAAGGTCACATCTTCTGGGTATATATGAGCATTTTAACGAAGGTTCCTCTTCTTGGAGGAGGACACTTTTAAATGTGAGGACTTTTAAAACTTAGTCAAATATATGAGAAAAAGGTTTTCCATAGAAAATAAATACATATAAAACTATCATATAAGGCTATTTCTACTAGGATCTTCTTTCTTTCTGGCAACAAATACACACGAATCTTAACACTCCAATTGAGTTATGAAATGCCCAGATTGGCCATCTCCAATATGTAAAGTGTTCCTATGCTATTTTTCATACTTACAACTTCACTATTATTTTTTACCCATACATTTTGAAATGCTAAAGTTAAAGAAAAACAATAAATCTCCTAACTTTCCCCTATCTCTTTTTGTGAGTGCTCAGAGAAGATTCTAGAAAGGTATTTGTTTAATTCTGCATTAGAAAGTGTTGTGCAGAGATGAGGTACCAAACGGTGGGACGGTAGAGGTGGAAACTTTTCAAACAGGGAAAGGGAGCTTTACTATGAAGTTTTACATTTGCTCTGTAAGATTGCTAAAATCTTTGACAGTGAGGTTAGTGAGCATTTACTATTAATTTTAAATGTAAGAATTAAACACTTCATCGAAACACTTAGTCTACAGGTTTATAATTTCATATTTCTTTTCAAATAGACAATTGATTTGTACCATACAAGAAAAAAAAGAAGAAGAAAGAAAAACAGGCCGGAGGTTTCAACTGAAATGTTAAAATAACTCAGAAATTTTCTATTCTTCTTTTTTTTATTAACCTGATATGTAATTAGTCCTCCAGCCTAAGAGATTAGAATTTCTTATCTCCCCTTTACATCATATCTCTTCTTAAAGGGAAAGCATTTGTAAATTTTTCTTCAAGGTCTCTCTCACCTCTTCATTACAACAGTGTGATTGTTCTGCTGAGAAAGATAATTAACTGCAACTTCATTAGCAGCTACAAAGACAAACTTACTCATTAGAAGAGAAGAGGGCATAATATAATTTAATTAAGATAGCATCAATCCATAGCCAAATTTGAAGCACAGATCCTGTAGGTATTTTCACATCGGATTCAGATTCCTCTAATTTTTTTCTTTTTCATGTATGTGTATGTTTGTGTGGGGTTTTTTGTTTCGTTTTGCTTTATATTTTAGAATTCTCAAGGAGCATCTTGGGGAACAGGAAGTTTCCATCTCATTAATTGTGGACTCTGTACAAGAAGGTGACTTGGGAAATTACTCCTGTTATGTCGAAAATGGAAATGGACGTCGGCATGCCAGCATTCTCCTTCACAAACGTGGTGAGTATAACCTTCTAAGCTTGAGTGGCCAACTGAGCCTATAATGGGAGGAAAATAATTGGGAACCAAAAAAATTTAAAATCTGGTTTTCTACACAAGTTTATGCTAAATAAAAATAATCACATTAGCATTTGGCCCATCAAGGGAGATAACACAGTGGATGGGTGACTAGCTCAGGCTCTAGAGTCAAATTTGGATTTATTGCTCTGCTTTAATACCAACTATATAACTTGGGGCATGGTACCTACCCTAACTTCCTTATGCTTCGGTTTCCTGATATATGGAACGGGGAAAATAATAGTGTCGATTCTGTGTTTTAAAGGATGAAAGAAACAAGAAATGTGAAGAGTTCGGCACAAAGCTTGTACACAGGAAGTATCTAGTTAAACGTTATTTGTTATAATTAGAAAAAGGCAAATCAATTAAAAATAAGTGAAATAGTTTTAAGTCCAACATTGTGTTCCTTATTGGAAGGTTATTCCTTTAGTGTAAGAATTATGCCTGATGGATTCCATATTGCAGTACTTCTTGACATTTTTTTTCTGCTTCGGAAAACTTTTACTTCTGTAAAATCCTCCCTTGATTAATAATAATTCATTAATTGCATCTTAATGAATTATTAGTTAACTATTAACAATAATTCAAGTAATATAGGTTGTGGTTGAGTACAACATCTGTCACTTTAAATCTGATTTCACAGCAGCCCCAACACCTTATGCACAGGGTTAAAATATATATAACTATATAGTGAATTGTTTGAAATTAGAGATAAATGTAAATTTTGAGCCATGCCTTATAGTTGGTGAAATTTTTCATGTACATTACAAGAGAAAAATACATTTTTTTCTATATTATGCTAAGTAAAATCTTTCTGGTTTTTCAAATGAGTGCACTTGATGTTCTCTTACTCAGCAAATCTAGAATGATTTTAATTTCAAAGTACATGTTTAATCCTAGACTCTTTGAGGTTGAAAATGAAAGAAACGCTTGAAGACTGTTCCCCCGCACACACACACTTTACTGGGCAATAGAATCCTTTAGAATAATGTTACTGAAAGCTATTAAAATAGACACCTCTGTTGTCAAGGTGACTACAATATTAAAATAGTCTACTTTGGGCGAATGTGAGAAACAGGAAAGGTTAGCAGCAGCTAGCAATATGATTGTTTCTTTCTCTAGCTTAACATATGTATTCAGTCAATGAAGGAATCGTGAATAGAAATATGAGGTGTGATCAAAAATACGATGAATATTTAAATTTTTAAAAAATTTATCACAGTAAAAGATACATTGCCATTACTCCCTCTCAAAATACTCCCCCCACTTTGAACACACTTTTCCCATCATTCTTGCCACTTTCTGAAGCAGTTCTGGAAGTCCTCTTTCATGAGTGTCTTTACTTCATCCTCCATCATGACAATTCTCTGTGTCACACATCACTTCTGGTACGGCAATTTCTGTCAAATAAAACATTATGGTGTGTCCTCATCCACCTTATTCACCGGATCTGGCACCATGCAACTTCTGGCTCTTCCCCCAAGTCAAAATGACCATGAAAGGTAAACGTTTTGAATCGATTCAGGACATCAAGGCAGCCATGACAGCGCAACTAAAGACATTCATGAAAGAGGCCTTCCAGAACTGCTTCAGAAAGTGGCAAGAACGATAGGATAAGTGTATTCGAAGTGAGGGGAAGTTTTTGAGGGGGATTAATGGCAATGTATTTTTTACTGTAATAAATTTTTTTATTGGCTTCAGGTGTACAAAACAATGTAATAGACATTTACACCCCTCACAAAGGGCTAACTCCCCTCCCCCAATCTGCTACCCCTCTAAATTAGACATTCACTGTATTTCTTAATCACACCTCATATTATACATATAAAAGGACAGGGTTGAAAGCATCTTAAATGTTGTATAGTTGAACTGCTCCATAACATCTCCCAAGTGATCTATTATTAACTTATACTGGGTCACACTCCCTATTGAGAAAGCCAGTTCTATCTTTGGAAAAACCTATATATTAGAAAGCATCCCTATTTCACTGTCTGTCTGCCCTTTGGCTCCAGTTCTGCACTTTTAATCTCTGTTGCCCAAAACAGCCCTTTAAATGTACGGTAACAGTGAATGTGATCCTGTTAGACCTTTACTTTCCTAGATTCAACTTTTTTAGTTTCTTTTATTAATTTTTTCTTAGTGTGGATAACATACTTTCATCATTCTGGTCACTGTCTTCCACGTGGTCTGATTAAAGAGTCTGAATTATTCCTCAAGAAGGGAAGTAGTGGAGAGAATATATAGGGCCCAAATAAAGACCTGTTGACATGGACAACATATATTTCTTTTTACAACAAGGTAGGAGTGGCAGTTAAGTAATAATCATAAAGAGAGAGGAAGGGCAATGAATTGTATCTAAGGAGACAGATAGGCACATGGCCAGGAAGGGTTAAACACCCCAGGCTATTTTTAGCATGTGTGGCCTAAGGTTAAGTTGCCTATAGCCACAAAAGCTTCTAGTACTACAAAAATAAATGATTGAGGAATCAAGGGAGTTGTTTGAAAAAAAACTTTCCCAATAATGTCTGATTACCTAAACTAAACATGAAGAAGAAAATTGTGGCCAGTGTTAGAGCATCTTTCAACACTTAAATCTTCCACAATGATTTTCAAATAGGTATTTATACCAACAGCATTTTATTCTTAGTAAAATAAAACCATTAAGAAGCTCCAAAGAATCCTTCAAGGTCATACACTCTAAAAGTCCTTCTTAAAGTTAGTATGTGCCTTCTTTTTAAGGGGGCTGCAAGCAAATATGTCATCAATTCATGAAGGCAGCAGTGCATGCAGTCTCCTGTCCTTGAGAGGCTTATAATCATGTGGAATGGTCTATCCCAGTCATCTTTAGAAAAAAGAAAGGACTTTGTCACCAGCTCTGCAAGGTTAAGAATGTAAGGGCACAGCACATGTAAGCCTATAGTTTGGGGTTTTAATCATAGGGTCCCTGGAAAAGTCAAGTTGCTGTCATACTAGTAATTATGTAATTATCATATGAGTTAGTATATTACTCAGAAGACTAAAGCTCAGAGAAGGAGCTGGAAACTGTCACTATTAATCATATTTTTCTGTCACTGACTCATAAATCGCCTAACTTATCTTACAGCCCTTCAAAGTCTTTCTTTTTAAAACCTCCCTAGAGAGATATGTTAAACATTTGATGAATACAGATTTTGTAATCCACAAATTATCGGTTTTGACAAGTAATCTGCAGGACACACCTTTGCCAAGTTACTTAAGCATTATTTTCTCCACAGTTGCCTTTTGTTCAGTATTGTTGATGCAATAAAAAATGGTGTTAGAGCCCTCCAATGGGTGGTATGGATTCTTTGAGACATCATTCACAGGCCAAATGAGTCTTCCTTAATGCCAAGAGGGTAATACAATAAATAATTCAGCTAGGATTAAGCTAGGTTAGATTCTGGACCAGGCTTTTATTAAAAAAAAAACACCTTAATTCCACAAAAACTGGCTAGAAATTTACCAGGAAATTTGACCGTTGGAAAACCTTACTTGAGAATATTCAAAGTTGTTGATTCCTGCCGCCACGGAAGGTATTTTGACAGTTAAGATAATGTCAGACATTCATTATAGCAGAGAACTAGATATGCAGTGAAAGAGAAACAAAGAATGAAGGGACAAGGGCCATGGGGCCATATTAGTCTGTGACTGCCCTGCTCCTTAGTCCTCACTCCAGTCTCTGGCCTGACAAGCTCGAAAGTTACACCATTGCTTCAAAAAGAACCAAAGTGAAGAGTTGATACATTCACTACTGTGTCATTCCTTGTTCCCCCTATTATCCATACATGATTGCATTCCATGTTTAAGTCTCTGAATCTTTTACCTAGATGCCTTTGCTTGGGTTTTTAGTTACTGGTGCCTGACTCAACGTGCATCAAACACTGGCCTTCAGTTTTCCTCCAAAACTCTGACCTTTCCTATTCCCTCCATTTTTTACATTTTCTATTTCCCTGACACAAACAATTCTACAGATGGAAACTGTTGGCACCCAGGGTAGGCCACCTCAAAATATCCCATTATGGCATATTGGTTATTTTGAATTAAAGGTACTTAAGAACCTTTCAATGCAAGAACACTCTGACCTCTTCCTCTACCTTCCCCCCTTGAAGCAGGAGGTAAATCTCCCATGTGAAGGTGCCCTCCTTGCCCCTAGAGGCAAAGTTAAGGAATCCAGAGCCAGAACGCTCACATAAACAAACCTTGTTGCCTCTTAATTCATTTACTACCCAAGGCCAAACCTTGCTTAGATTCCTTACTCATGAGCACTAACTTTTTTTTGTCCTATCAATTTCTCAAAAGTTTATTGTTTCTTTATATAAAAAGTATAAAAAGGTACCTGTTTCCATCATTTCTCTGAGCGTCATTTTATGATCTGGAGCATCATTTATGATCTTCTATATTCACACATTAAAGTGTGTCTATTTTATGATTAGTCTAGCCATAAGAACTCAAGAAGGGTAGAGGGGAATTTTACCTTCCCTGACGCTACTCGGCAGCATTGCGCTCTAGCCTCAGTCCTAGCCACCCTTATACCCATCAGGAGGTCCCAAATTTGTTTTTCACTCTGTGTTTTTGGTCCATGCCCTTTAACTCAGGATGACCTCAAAGTGTGTATGTTTACTATTGGAGCAAAGCAGTTTAACGGTTGAGGTTGTGGACTCTGGAGAAATGCTGACTGTTCAAAACCCAACTCTATGCTTACTATTTGTGCCATCTTGGGCAATTTACTTAACCTCTGAGAACCTCAAATGTCTCACATATAAAATTGTAGTAATAATAATATCTTTCATATAGAGCAGGTCTGAGGATTAAATAAACATATATATCAATATGTATTACATGTCTGACACATATTTATCACCCAATAAATGTTAACAGCTATTATATGATTTCTCTGCACCAACCACGTGATATTCTGGGTAACT